GTGTGGCTCAGTGGATTGAGTGACAGCCTGCCAACCAAAGGGTCACCAGTTCATTTCCCAGTCAGGGCACATGCCTGGGTTGTGGGACAGATTTCCAGTTGGGGGCACACGAGAGGCAACCGCACATTCATGTTTTCTCCCTCTCTCCCTCCCTTCCCTTCTCTGGAAATAAATAAATAAAATTTTATAGAAAAGAAAACCTCAAGTTTGACCATGAAAAAGGGGAAAATACAAATAAAAATATTAAGAATAATAAAAAGAAAGAGCTAACACAGAGCTTTCTTAAACTTAACAAAACGCTATGCTTAACTTCATATCCTTAAATTTGAAGTTTAGGAGAAACATCTTATTTTTTAAAGATAAGTCAAAGGATCAAAACTAACTCAGAAAAAAGTAACATCACCTTGGCTGGTCCAACATTCACACACACATTTCCCAGTCTTGTGTTGTCTGATTTTGTTTTAGTGTCCTTAGCCATACAAAATTTTTTCCACTTCCAAGTCATACAAATATTTTCTTATAATTCTTCCTCATAATTTATAGTTTTTAGTTAAATTTTGCAGTTATTTTTGGTGTCGGAATTTGAAGCTCAAGGGAGAGAATTTCAAGTCAGGAAAACACTTCCTTTGTAAAGAAAATCTGTTTGCATACGAGCCAACAAAGAAAATCTCAATAAATTCCCTAAAATAGAAGTCACAAAGACCACATTTTCTGAATGCTAGAAGGTAGAGACTGAAAATCACTCCACCTAACAAATTAGGTAGGAGACTACCTTTATTTTCTTCCAGGCAGATAGCCCACTGTGCCAATATCATGTATTAACCTAAGAGCAACTACTGCTTCATTAAAAAAAGTATTCAAATGGCTTATTTTAAAACTTGGCCAAAGATTTTAACATACATTTCACTGAAAAGGAAGTGAAAATGGTCAATAAATATATTTTAAAATATTACCACTTTTTGTTTAAAAATAAAATCCAAATAATCATGAAATACTGTTTTTCACCTATCTTATTGGAAAATATTTTCAAGTTTGATCCATTTTTAGTGATAGTAAAAGTATGGGAAAAGGACAAATCTTTGTAGGGGAGCTTTGCCCACAGAGTCCCCAGTCTGCTGCGGAGAGAATAAATCTACCAAGATATGATCTGCTTGGGGAGGAAAGGTGGCTGATCTCTCAAAGGAGAAGGACCAAGAGCCTTTTCCTCAATGGGCTTTTATTAGGTTCATTTTGCACAGGAATACAGGCAAAGCTCATCAATCATTGTCAGACAGTAAGGATCAAAACAATAGATAACATACAAAGAACTACTAGGGCTTATTCTGAGTCAGGGTCAGTTAGCTAAAGGGTTACAAAACTTTGGGAAACAAAGTCATTTCCTGCTCAGACCCTTATCATTTAATTGAGAACATTCTTAGTAAAGCAGGTTTCACAGGATTTTATGCATTCTTTCTTAGACCTAATCACCCAGGGAACCGCCCTTTCCAGCACAGGGCTGCACCACCCTCTGTCATTGTTTCAGGCTTAAATCAGGCAGGGGGAGTAAGGCAGCCAAGAGATCAGGAGACTTCTTGAACAGAATGAGGATTCGGGCTATGTCAAAGTTGAGGGGTAAGGGTCCATCGCCCCCTTTTGCTATAGCCCCCCAAGTCCTTCCCTAAGGACACCCCATGACCATGCCTGTATTAGGTCATCCCTCCCTTGAGGAATCTTACACATCATTGGCTAGCTGATCAAGCATTGGGGGCCAGGCAGGATGAAGTAAAAGGAGCAGAGGTGGTGCCCCTGCCAGGGATGTAAGCTTTGTCTCCTTGGTGGCTTATGGTCCAAAGGTTGTTCACACAGCCTTAGCCATGGGGGGGCTACAGCTTCTGAAACCATGCAGGGCAGTTCCCAACAGATCTTAACATTTATTAGTAGAATTATAAATTTATTTGGCCTTTTTGGAGACAATTTGGCAGCACTGTCGTCCCACCTTAGCCACAGAGGATATATTCCAAGACCCCCAATGGATGCCCGAAACCACAAATAGTACTGAACCCCATATACACTATGCATCCAGCACCTGCGATATGTCAGGTGTTCCAAGCATTGTTCAAACACAAGCTCCTTTAACACTCTCCATAACCTTACAGCACAGGGCAGGTGCACTTATTACTATTGTCAACTGACAGAAAAGTTGAGACACTGAAAGGGGAAATAACTTGCCCAAGGTCAAATATCTAGTAAGTGGTTGAGAAGGAATTCAAACATCAGCAGTAAGCTACATGTTCTATGTTCTTAACCATGATATTTGCTCTCTAGAGACTTCAGTTTGGACCAAGAGTCTGGGTTCTTTTCTGTCAGTTGGCTGGGCACTCCCACAGATGCTGTATCTAGATATTATAAACAAAATGTAAAAACTCTTCTGCCACTATAAGCTCTAAAGGTACTAGTGCCTGAATGTATGTTAATAGCACTCCATAAGATTAATAAATCAGTGAGCAACATTGTTGAATGCATCACCAGTATCACATAGGTCATGCTACAGGCATTGCCTAGCACAATCACACCAAAACATCCCTGCTCTGTTCTGCACCCCTTCTTTGACACTATCCAGGAATTGCTGGGGCTCTGTGGACCCTGGTAGCTGTGCACACTAAAGGTTCCCTTCTCTGTCAGCAGACCTCAGTTTTTGTGCTAATTCCTGCAGCCCACTGGGCCTACACCCTGGTCTTTCCTTCACCCGAGGGAGAAGTATCACCCCCAGAGCTGGGCACCATGGAGCATGAACGCTGGAGAAAATGCTTCCCTGGCCTGTGGCAGGTAGAACAGTGTTGTGACAAACTGGAATTTAGGAAAATCCTCCAGGTGTTGTCAGAAGGGGTGGAGCCAGAGGATTTGTCAACAAGGACTTACTTATCTGTTTGAGGAGCCTTGGCAGTTAAATAGTAGGTGGGGCTGGCATGTTTCAGAAGTCCTAGCATACAACAATTAATATCATGGTATTCTAATTAGGATCAGCCTAATGAGATCCAAATTAACCCAATGTCATCTGTTCCCTGACTGGTTCACTAATCCAGTGGTGATTTAGTAATAATGATACTCGTGTTCCACCATCTCCTTTTTAATTTTTGGCTAGAGTAATTATTCTTTACATATTTTGCATAATAAAGGTAAAGTGACAAGTAAGACAACCCTCCCTGAAAAGATTCACACACAGCTGTAAAAATAATATTCTTGTAAATAAGTTGTCCAAATATGGTTAAAAGCTTTCCACTTAAAGATCATGTCAGATGAACAATGACCAAAGATCACGTCCAGTAACAAAGGAGTCATTGTGATCTTGCCCTAGAATGGTGAAGGCGGGTGACCAAGTGTGGGACAGTGTGAGGAGATGCTTGAAGGTGAGGCCTCAGAGACACCTGACACAGATGGCCTTTCCCAACGGTTCACAACTAAGGGGTGGGAGTAGAAAGAGCAGTGGTTGAAGAGGGGTCCAGGAAGATCAGGTGAGAGATTTCTGTGTAGTTAGGGGAGATGTGCGGCTCTGTGAATGCGCAGGGAGGGATTCAGTTCATAAAGTACAGGGGCAAGATGGGAATACTGGGGGGATGAGCTGAACAGAAAAGAAGAAAGGAAGAGATCCAGATCACCATGGGAGGATTATACAAATTTCTTTAAATATAATTAGAGCCAATTGGGAAGCAATGGAAGCTTATCAGAGATAGTTGCAGATTTCTCAACTATAGCAGTAACATTTCAATTTAGTAGTATTTAACAATTTTTCCATGAAATAGACAAATTAAGGGATAGCAAATTATGTGAAAGAAAAAAGTAGAGAAAATTCGAAACAGGCTTTAGGCAAAATTGAGGAGTGAATGTGCCAACACATAAAAAGAAAGTAAGACTTTCAGGCATTATATATGCTTCCCGACGGGTTCAGATGATTTGGTGTTTACAGTGGTATTTATGTTCAGTGGTACAAAATATCACGCAGTTATCTTAAGACCAGCAGTAGCTACGGCCTGGCAGATAATCAGGGCCTTCAGATTTGAAGTTTTACCAGGCAGATATGATGAGTGGTAAGGAATCTTGGACTATTCCAGGGAGTTATTGAGATCATAGTCCACAGAACCCGGGATAGACTGGAATGTGTGTGTTCCATGCCACTGACTCAGCCTGGACTCCCGGCAACCCCAGGAATGAGTGACGTCCACAGTGTCCTGTCCTCAGCAGCTGTGCTCAGCTCCTCTGCACTCACGCCTCTGGCTTCTTTTATGGAGCCAGTCCATCTCCTATTTGTTCTTCTTTCCCTGCTGCCTTCTACTTCCCCCAGCATTGCTATCTTTTCCAAAGAGCTGTGCCTTCGAGTTGATAAGAACAGGAGTGGACAAATTAATATAATAAGAAAATGGTGATCTTGCATAACTTGCAATTTTGAAAAATAGGTATGTGTTACATGAGTGTTTCTAAAATATTGCAATTCAGAAATTTGTAGCGAGTATGTTTTCTGAATTAATTATTTATTTTCTGAATTATTTATGACCAAACTTCTGGGACAAGGGACCGAGTCGCTAAAAGTCGGTTAGTTGGTGATGTGACTAATGATTTTAGATCTAAAACACAAGTGGTCAATGGATTAACCAAATGAATAGTCACATAACAGAAGAATGGTAGGATTTTGGACAGAAAAAGCCTGGGGACGGTGTATCATGAGAGAGTACCAAGACTCAATCAGATGCAGTTGAGAGTGACAAGGGCAAAAAGAGAATATAATTATACTCATAAAGGAGAGGGTCTTATAAGATGTTGGAGGAGAAATCATCTGGAGTAGGTTCTGGGTTTTGACACAAATATGCTCGATGATGTCGCAGGATGCTGGTCAGAGCTGTCCCCAGAGGGAGGGCGGGAGTACAAGACAGCTCTGAAAGTAATTATCCTAAGAAGTCAGGCTTCATTTATCATGCAGATCCAATTTCACAATTTACTTTTTATAGAGTAAATGGAAAAGAAATATGATGGTCAAGACTTCACAGAGGAAGCATCGTGAGTGGGTAAACCAACCCAAGCCAAAGCCTGATTTAAGTATCTCCATTCCTTTGAGGATGTCCAATTATATACTCAAGAGGCCAGTTACAAAAATCATATCCCACCCAGGCAATGAAGTCAGATACCATCACTGGGAGGAAACCTTGGACAAGCCCCTGCAGCTGTGCTGGCAGAAGAGACTTCAAGGACTCCAGGCCTGCAGCAGCACAGGACAACTGTTAAGTCCCTTCGATCTTCCCAAATCCTTGCAAAAACTTGTGCCTAAGCACACGGGCGAGTCCCTGCCAGGTATTCTCACAGGTGGTCCTCATGGCAGCTCCGCGTGCAACCCCACCGGGTCCTCACGTATGGCAGAGATGATTCCAGGAGCCGGTCTGGGTAACCTACAGCTCCACTGCAAACAATTCCTGGTGACTGAGAAAGACATCAGGAAACAGGAAAGGAGAATGAAGATGGCAAGAGAGAGACTGGCAATAGCGTTGATCGCAGACAGACTGGCTAGCGAGGCCGAGAAAATGAGGGACCAGGAAGGACATCCTGGAAAACGCTAGGAAAAAAAAGAAGATGGTACAGACAAAACGGAGCACGGCATTTTATTAACATCTCTTTGCAGTGTCCACAATGTTTTCTCGCTTTGAGGTTTTTTTTTTAATGTACCAACACTTTCCTTTATTAAACTTTTTTGTGTGACATAGAATATATACACAGTGATCTTTTTGAGTTGAGAGATTCAGTTTCAGGTGAGGAGAGAAAGATCTTTCCTTTTCATGATACACTCTCATTTTTCTTTGCTCTGTGTGTTATTTGTAATTTAAAGTCAACAGAGAGTTATCAGCCATGGGTTTTTATTCAGTGTTTTTCTTTCACAGTCCCGGAATAAAACCTACCTAGTCAGAATGGCTATTCTTTTCGTGTAATGTTCCAATAGATTCCAAAATAGTATTTTATTTAAAAACTTTTTTATATCTAATGTTTTAAGATAAGATATCTACTTCTAGGTCTTTACTTTTCTGCCCTTTGTTGTATGTTGATTCAGAGCTGTATATAATGAAATGCCAGACTTTCCTTCATTTTTTAGATTTATGTGCATTTGAAATTTGATTCATGAAGGTTGACATGCCATTTGGGGTATCACAGCATCAGGAGAGACATTTTCAGCATCGCTGCTCTAACAATCAGCCACTGCTTGTTGGGATTTACTTGTCTGTTTGGCTGATCAAGTGTGTAGTATTATCAAATCCTCTTCACTATACTACATTTGTGTGACATATCTATCAGCTTCTGAGAGTAATGCATTAAACAATAATACAGAATCTACAGTGTTTTTACCTTCCCTAAAAATGAGTTAATTTTTGAGGATATGTTTTTATTAAGATTAAAGAGACAGGAAGGAAGAGAGAGAGAAACATCAATGTGAGACATCAATCCGTTGCCCCCCATATGCACCCCGACCAAGGATGGAACTCGCAATACAGGCTTGTGCCCTGACCAGGATGGAACCCACAACCTTTTGGTCCATGGGACGATGCTCCGACCAGCTGAGCAATTGGCCAGGGCTGAATTATTAATTTAATCTTCTCTCCCCTGTTCTCCCATGTGGTAACCACCTGCGATTTTAGTTACAATATTTTTAATATCTTATGTTAAAATTAATACTAATTTAGATACACTAATTTTCTTCTTTTCCTCATTATTACTTTTTTATTTTACGTTATATTTTTCTAGGTTTACATTTCTCCTTATTGGTTCTCTTATGGAAGGCCCATGGGAGGTCAGCTCAGAGACTGTCTAAAAGTGTTTTTATCCCTTTCTTTGACAGGTGGTTTGGCTAGGTATTTAAATTAGGTTCTTAGTAATTTTTTCCTTTGTTATTTAATATTTCTGAGCCTCTTATTTTTAGCTACAAAATGGGAATAAAGCCCTCAAAGATGATAAGTATAACTGAGATAATGCACGGAAGGCTTGCCAATCATGTTGCTTAGCAGGTATTAAGTAGTCAAAAAGGAAAGCTAATTGTTATCATTATTATAATCTTTAGAGAGAGCATTCTTGGAGAATGACTGAGGGTGCGAAGCTCACACACAAATGTGTGCGTGGGTGGCATTATGTAATTTTAATTCTTAGCCCTTGAGTATCTTCATCTGTGGTCTTCCGGGTAGACATTACGCGGACTACTCCCGCAAACCCAAGCAGCACAGCATAGCTTGCCCCTGCTGGCGAGGCTTTAGGCTGCTTATTGAGGAGCCTTTGCTAGAAGAGTCTAGCTGGATTCAATGCAGAGAAAGAGGGAACAGACCAAATGGTTTTTCCCACAGGTTTTTTCCCCCTGCGTTCTATTCATCTCTACATCCAAAGCAGACACTGTCTTTATAGCCTTGATGTCACCTGAGGACTCAGGCTTCCTTCTGCTACTCTGCCATGGAGGTTAGGAAGACTATGTCTGGAATTCAGGAGGTTCTCTAGTGTGTTTCTTAGCATCACCATGCCCTGTGACTAATGTCAATGGAAAACTACAAAAAACAATCCAGGCAGTATGACTAGTAACCTTTCAGGGCCCTCCAACCAGGCAGAGACCACAAAGTGCAGAGGTGCTGGACGAGGACAAAGGAAACCTGAAATGGCACGTGGAAGAAGGTAGCTGCCAATATAGCTATGAAAAGGTGATCAGTGGCAAAAACATATTTGATGGTTATGAGCATTTCTTATTTATTGTTATAAAAAAGTCTGAGCACCACATGTACATAGATATATATCATGTAAAAAGTTAAAGTGAGCAAAGACTGCTGAGTGCACTGTTGCTGCAAACGTGGGTCCCTTCTTGTTGACTATTGGGGCATTTCTGGCCACTGGAAACCCAAAGATACGAAAATGATCCCTCCTGGCCACGTGGTGGGCACAAGATTTATTCACTATTCCTACACATAGGGTTGGCTCTCAGGAGCCTCACAGTCTGGCAGGAGAAGCCCATCAGACGCCTGTGCCTTCCTCCTGCCCTGGACTGGCCCCGGGGACTGGCACTGCTCTTTCTCTTTGTAAGCAAAGTACAGCCTTATCTGTCTTCACTCTCGATAATCACTCCCCTGGATGGCTGTGCAACATCAGGAAGCGCCTGGGCTGCCAGGAACCAGGATTTATCCTCCGTTTCTGGCTGTCCTGAAAAGGCTTCCTGGCACAGTCTACCAACTGGATGTCTGGGTGACATTTGCAACCATCAGAGAAGTGGGAGGTCACTCAGAAGTGCCAAGCAATTCATCTGGCCCTTGCTCGTACAGGATATTTCCTAGAGATAACGTTCGAATGCAGGTGGTAAACCTTTCGCTCCTGATCATAAGCTGGGTACTGGGGGTGAACTCAGAGCAGTGTCTGCTTTTTGCCCACACTGATAACATTCAGTATTTTAATTAATACTAATACTCCTCGTCCCACCCTCCCCCTGCCCCCATAACATACCCACAGCACAAGACTGAGGAAAAAACACAGCCATTCCAGGGGCTATGATCTCTACAGGCTTGGGTTAAGCTGTCCCTACAGGTCTCGTTGGCAACAGCACAACTGGGTGTGTAAGCTGGCGATTGTTTGAGATTATGGACCTCAGAACCACACGGGCCCAGAAGTTACCCTGGGCAGCAAAGAAGAGTGTGGGGTCATTCACTGGCCAGGATCACGATCTCACCCTGGCCACCCAGAGCTCACCCATGATCCATTAGGCCCAGCCAAGGGGGAATGGCCACAGTGTACCTGATAGAGACGCTGGCAGCCTTCTAGGAAATTTCTGCCTTGGAAAACAGTTGCATAAGGAATTGCAGGACTGTGGAAGTTCTAGATCACAGGGAACAGTGTTTATGGAACAAGGCCCCGTGGTAGCCTTAAAAGCTGTATCACAAATCATTTCTCTCATAAGAAACAAGCAGGAGAGGAATCCAGAGGTCACGGCCAAGGCTCCCAGGAGGATTCAAGTCTAGGTAAAGGATAATCACTGAGCCATGAGAGGGGCCTGAGGATGGAAAGTCCTGCCTGCCCTCAGTCCATTGGACAGTGCTCTTCCTCTGGCTTGTCCTCACCACATGCACATGCTGGTCTTTTCACATTGTTTTCCTACTTAGCACTGATGCACTTCCAGAGACTGACCTAGAAAACACCAAGTTCCTAATATCTGGTTAAAAGAAATCTCAACAAGGGAAGGAGAAAATGTTCCCTCCACCTCCAGAGCTGTAAAAAGGCAGCCACAGTCTTGGGGCAGGAAGGGCTCCTGGCAATTGTTATTTTTAGAGACCTCCATTTCCGGGGGTATGTCAATGCCTGTGAAAGCGCCCTCAACCTCTAAATCCCAGGGGTGCTGAGGGGCTGTCTCTGCCTCTTGTCCAGGTTAAGGATGCTGAAGTGAACCTGCCCTCTGAGTAGGGCATACTTGGGGCTGTCAAGAGCCAGGGAGGGGGGCTGGCCCTTCTCCCCTCTCCCTTCTCCCTTCTCCCATATAGAGAGTGAGCTGACGACCTTGCAAGATGTTTTAATTCCAAGAGGAATGTGACATTCTGAATTTCATTTCAGTGGGCACAAGAAGAAAAAGTACCATAGCACAATGCCGAGAATGTAAAAGAAACAGGATTCTAATATAATTCTCAAATCCAACATTTACTATTGACAACAAATAAAGAGCGCCCCTCCCCAGTACGTAGACACATCAGAGAGATGGGGTACGGTCAACTCCTCCCTCTCGAGCTTCAGGGAACCCTAGGAGGTTCATAATATCCTTCCCAGTAGAGTTGGGAGGAGCTGTACCCCAATGTACCCCAAGTGTCCCCACTGTGCCCCGTTGCTGAGGAAGGGCTGCACTTGAGCTGGTCTCAGGAGTGGGATCTCCCACTGGTGCTGGGATTTGTATCAAGGACCTGACAGCTGAACAGAAGAGTCAGGTTATCTTGGGGTCCTCCCCAAGAATCACAGTCTTCCTCCCCACCTTTACTGCACTCTGCTCCAGGCCCTGGGCTGAGAGCACAATCAACGGTACCCCATTCATCCCTGACATGGGAGAGGTCATTTAACATCACCCATTTCACAGAAGAGGAGGCTGAGTCCCAGAAAGGTGAGGTGAATCACCAGTCACAGGACTGGTAAGTAATGGAATTGGGATCCCAGCACTGGCTGTCTGACTCCCCAGGCTCTGGGCTCCAGCGAAGAGGGTACATGGAGCTGAGGCCAGAGACCTTCTGGTCCAACCTGCTCTGATGGCAGGAAGAACCGCTTACCCACAGGTGTGCTTCCTGACTTGGAAGACAGGGCCTGAGTCCAGCTCAGACACAGCCTCCTCAGCTCTGCTGCGGTCAGGCAGCCCTGAGCTTTACCAGCCCAGGGAGCCAGAGAGGCAGCTCACGTGGGGCCTCCATTCGCTCATCACTAAGATGGGTGTGACATCCTGCCTGGCTTAGGGGGCGCTGGGACCCCACACACCCAGTTCCCCCAACAGCCTGGAGGATGACGGACCAGCATGGAAACCATGACCCGCTCATTCTGGCAGCTCCTCACCCTCCTGGAACAGCCCAGCAGCAGCCCT